GGTCAAGTCAACTTTTCATCAGTCATTCTAAATAGCACAAGCAGAGAAAAGGAATAAAGCCAGAAATGGGGACAATTTCTGTTTTTCCCTGGCTAATCTCCATAGGCACAATGTCACAGCTTGGACATGAGGCCTTTTTCTACTATCAGTAGTGACATATTCAAACAAGCAATGCTTTACAGAAAATGTACAATTTTTGTTCTGGACGTTGCCCTGCAATTTAGCCCTGTCAGTCCACCAAGTTACGAGCTGTTTGCCTTCCTCCTCCTCCTCCTTTCAAGCTCTCTTCTTTGGGTCTTAATTCTTCCACTACGTATGATATCATTAAGGGTGTTCTTAGTTAATAATTCAGCTATTTTACAGATTGGCTCATTAAGAAGTCTTGGAAAAGTGCCATTCGGCCCCAATGATATTCTTAATTTGTCTATTAGCTCTAAAACTTTGCCCTTTGCCCTTCTGCTGGCTAGCATTTTCAGATAGTGTGGAAAAAGTGACCCCATGAAGTAGTCACAGCTATCCTCCCAGTAGGTTGACTAAACAACCTACCAGTAAGTAAAACAATTTGGGTGGGTGGGTGGGGGAAATAGTGCACTTTCAGGTGATCAGTGAAATCCATATACTCTGAGCTTAGTAAATTAGAGTCAGTTTTGTGAGTAACTCTGTGCCCCAGTTTCTATTTATTTCAGTGGAACAGTTAGGGGTCAAAGCCCTCCATTTCTTTATAAAAATGGGAGCTTTATCCTTGTCTTGCATAAATATAATTGTATGAATTCCCCCAATTACATAGACTTTAAGAATGTAAAAGCAGTTAGAGCTTGAAAATAATACTTTAAGTACTAAACATCTAATAGTGCTAACTGGCATTTGCTGAGATAATTGTAATTGGAAAAGGATGTCAGAAATACTATTTCTGATTTTCAAAAAGCTCTAGTAAGAAATGTTTCTCCAAGTGACGCACAAACATTGGAAAATTCGTATTTGACCTGGAGCTAATCGTTCCTAAGGGCAATATTTGATCAATTTATCGTTGCTGGTTTACAACTGTTGGGTTCCATGACAGGACAGTTTTACTGATAATGTGAAGGAGAGAGGTGATGTGATTCTACATAAGTCATGCTCAGTAACGCCACAGTGATAGCTTAGAAATTTGTTACCTTACAAAATGGCAATTCTGTATTTTATTGTTCTATATTATTATAAATAATAAATTATTATTTATTATTGCTTTTGCCTGGACTGGTCACTCCCTGTTTTTTGAAAATTACTTTCCTTCCAGAGGGTAGTGTTTGATTTTTTAAAAAAAGAAAAGAAAAAGAGACGTGTCTGAAACTGGATTTCCCTTACTACCTAATGACGTTTTGGGCATTATCCTTCTTCGGTATCTTCGCTGAGACCCTGCAGCAGCCAAATTTCCTAACATCAACAATTAGAAACTCTTTCTTTCTAATTTAGTGCTAGGGGAGGGAACTTGGGGTGAGGGACACAGATGCTAGTATTCTTTATTCCTGTCAACTAATACTCATTTCTCTCCTTTTTTCAGGTTCATGGAACAGCATCCAGAAATGGATTTTTCCAAAGCAAAATTCAACTAATACAATTTCCCCTATTTTTTTTTTCTCCTTTCCTGGCAAACGTTCAATTTTAAACAGCAAAAAAATTGTGTGCCCTTTGGGATAATGCAAATACTCACATCACTCCATTTTGGAGTTAAAAAGTAGTTGTACTGGTACCTCCATATAGTATACTGCTTAGACTTCTGGATTTTCAGCAGCTGCATCAGTTATCAGAAGTCTGTCCTTCATCTTTGTAAAGCAATATTTTAGGGAGACGAAGGATTGAAATAAATGGGAGCTGCATTACACAATAATTGCTTTCCCTTGGGCTTCTCTTAGTTTTGGAAAATCTGGGAAGGTATCATTTTTTTGAAAAAATATTCAAGTTGATATTCATCCTTGATCATACACTTGCTCCTAAATAAAGGGCTGGAAGTCCTACCTTCAAAATAACATCACTCTTTTGTTGTTTCAAAAACCAAGCAACCACTATAAAGATATAACTCCATATAAGAACAGGGAGCGGCTTCAGAATCAAACAAAGCACTGACAATCTTTGCCATGTTCCCTTTGAGCCATCACTCCAAGGTGCAGCAGTGCAAAGAATGTGTGTGCTGGGTACATACAGGGTGCTCTTTAGATGTTACAGTGAGGAGCAGGTTCATCGCAAATCCACGCATCTGACAGTCGTTACTATTTATTACCTTCAGAAGTAACACTGCAGTCATAAGTAGTGAAACCTGGAGTACATTTGTCCAGGATATCGGATAGATTGCAAGAAGGCTAAGATCTTTAATAATGTGATAACGCTGGTCTTATTTTCATTCCTGTCAATGTTATTGTCCTTGACTGTTTCCCTCAAGCCATTTTGTAACTTATCTCAGAGCTTTGGTGGGAATAGACTCAAAAGTTTGAGAAGCTACAAAATGCTTCATTGTTTCTGTTACAATATGGAGGTTGGGGAGTTTCAAATCCAAAGAAAATTGGGATGTGGTTATTATATCACTGATTCCACCAAGGAAACGAAGGAGTTGTGCTCATCTTAAGTCAATCTCATGAATTGTGTTGACCTGAGATGCCAACAGTAACTAGGGCTCTTCCACTGTTAAAGGGAACGGAATTAACAAGAAGCAGGTCTGTGGCTTGGTGAAAAGGAGCTGCCCACCTTGTCAGATCTGTTCTTTTCAGAATTGGACATGTCAGTCAAGATCATTTTGCTCTGTTTTGTTGCTTACAAATAGCTCGTATTGTGCATGCACGATTAAAAAGTTGATGCTTTCATGCGCTGATTATCAGAGCACCCAGGAGCCAGCTCTCAAAGATCAGTAGCAGCTCTAAATAAACTGTTCTGTACCTTTCTGCTCTCTTCAAATTAAATGTGTTTTTCAGTTGTTATTTGACTCCACTGAAGAAAATGAACAACAATTAAGTATAAGGCTACTTCCAGAATGCTGGATAGTTTCCAGCAATGTGTGTATAAACTGGAGGAGATGCATATACTTTGGGTTTCCCACTGTAATGCCTTTTAGAGGTTTTGGGAGTTGAGATCCCAGAATTCCAAGCCTCCATGGTTCTTGACTGAGAGTTCTGAACCTTGCAGTTGTACCACATCTGGGAGATCGAGAACATCTGGAAAAAATCATATTTCCATCAGCTCTAGACTACCAAATGATTCACACACTTATAGTGTTTCTTCCCTGCTAGAAACTACCTATTGTTACTTTCTTCTCAGGCTGTGCAGACCAATGACCCAAGGGAAAAATATTCTTGATACATTGGTTTGTCAACTGATCTAGTGTGCCTGTGCGTGCTTCAAATCCCCCTTTCCTCTTGAATCTGGATTGTTGCAAAAGCTTGTTTTCTGTCATGGGGCGATGGTGTTGATTGCCTCTGCACACTTGTATTCTTGTAATCTATTCAACTTTAGGCCTCTGTTGGACACCAAGACCTAGCTGACCTAGCTGGCTTCCTCAACATGGCAATGGGTATAAATGTTACAAATAGAAAAAATAGATTGTGGAGCATTAGATTGTCCTATGGAAGAATTGTCCACTTTTTTTCTATAAATTCTATTAGTTTTTATAGGGTTAGGAATGAGTTGGGATTTGGGTTCAGATTAGGGTTGGGGTTGGGGTTAAGAGTTTTTCCAAATAACATTCTCAATATTCAGCAAACAGCATAATGTCTGGGTTCATGTGTTTAACAAGAAATAATAGATAATAGTTAATTATCATAAACAATATGTTAATCAATAGTCTTCTTACTAATATATATTCAAAGTTACATACCACATTCGTTTCTCTCCAACTCATGTTTCTAGCCATTGATAGAAATTATCCCATGTTCTAAAATACACCGAGTCTTCTTTCTCTTTTATCTTTAAAGTCAATCTGTCCATTTCTGCACACTCTAAAATTTTCTTAATTAATACTTCTTCATTTTTCCAATGTTGGGCAAATACAATTCTTGCTGCAGTTAATACTTGTAAAATTAAATATATACAATCTTTCTCATAATTTGCTCCTATTATTCCTAACAAAAATAAAGAATTATCCACTTGTTTGATGTCTTGCGAGGGAGCCAACAAAAAAAAAAGGGGGGGGGGAAGAAACCTGCCTGTAACTTTACTGCTCACCCACCCCCCAAATGAGTTTGGAAATGTTATAACTGAGAAAACATAAGTAAGGCTTAAACAATTTATCTACTGCTCTGGACTTACTGGAGCCTCTGTTTAACTTGAATTTGCACTAAATAAAAAACTAGCATGCTATACATTGCCGGTATCTCTCCAAATAAGACAACTGCACAACACTTTTAGGCATAGTGAGCGCATTGGCTCTTTTTTTTTTGTCCCTTGCCTCTTCATTATTAGCCAAGAGTAGCTGTCTGAGTTAAACAACCTTTAGATTACATGACTTCCAGGTTGCTTATTCCAAGGCTAGAACTTTATGAACTGTTTGCATAGGACTCTCTTCGTTGGACTTGGTTTGTGTGTGTTATGTGAACTCCTTGGCAGTGACCCCTATCGTTTCCTGAAAGCTGATTACAGACTGGAGCCTTGGTGCCATGGTACAGGCTGGGTTAATGACTTTGTTTATACTGATACCAGCGATCCCGTTAAGGTCCCAAGTCTTCTGGCACCTTCATTGAGAAAATGCTCCTCTGAACCGTGTGGAGCGCTCACTTCATTCTAACCAATCAGCCCCAGGGCAGCCCTTGTTTTTCAATGAACTGCTGCTGCTCATCAACAGGAGGTCAAGGCTGCTGAAGTGGGTGGATTTATTCGCCCATTCAGGAGCCTTATAAGCAGAGATGATAACAGCCAAGGAGAGGACGAAAGAAGCCACAGAGTAAGAGCTGTAGCTGAAGGGTTTGGACGCTTGCCGAAGCAGCAGGCAGGAGGAAAGCACTCTGAGTGTCCTGAGTCAGCTTGGCTCTCACATGAATATGGAGTGTGAGAAGTGTCCTTGTCATCACGAAAGCAATGAGAATGCCATTCTCTACATGCTGCTCAGTGAGAACTTGACTCACCACAAGGGTAGCCGTGGCTCTTCCCAACAACGCTGCTTGTGCCATAAGCGCCGTGCCGTTTGCCTTCAGACCCCACAAGCCACCTGCCAGGCAGCTTCTGACGTCTTGGTGAAGACCATCAGCTTCATGAAGAACCTGCCTTCTTTCCAGCTCCTGCCTTGGGAAGATCAGCTCTTACTGCTGGATAGCTGCTGGGCTCCCCTATTCCTTCTGGGCTTGGTGCAGGAGATGGTGACTTTTGAGGTTATGGAAACCCCTGTACCCAGCATGCTGGAGAGGATCCTTCTGGATGGCCAGTGCAAGAGACAGGAGCTGCAGCGGGTGCAGCCCACCTTGGCCAGCGTGCAACGCCTCCAGTGCTGCTTAAACTCTTTCTGGAGCCTAGACTTGAGTCCTAAAGAATACGCCTATCTGAAAGGCGCAATTCTGTTCAACCCGGGTAAGTGCCGTGTCCCCATACATAGCTTCAGAAGGCTAGACTTCACGCAATTGTTTTTTCCCCATAATTGATGGGAAAACAAGCAATATTCTTCCACAGACTCTCAGCCTTGGCTGGTTTCGTTCCTTTTAGTGAGTCATCTGTATTTTGATTAAAACAAAACAAAACTATAAGGCAGAGAGTATCATAAATTATGATACTGGGGTTTTTTTTTTATCCAAAGATTAAACTTTATATAACCAAAGCGGCATCAAATATTGCCATCAGAACATTTAAGCCATCTGTTGAGGCTGTTTTGCCACTCGGAGTCACTTTGGATAGCGAGATGGGCAGTCTATGAATTTAATAAATAATATAAATTCAAGAAATGATTTTCCAATTGTCTACGGAGATTCTCAGTCATCCAGGTCATAGTTATCCCAAAGGTGCTTTTTCACAAGGCAACTGGACTTATTTTTCTTTGAAGACATTTCGCTTCTCATTCAAGAAGCTCCTTCATCTCTGACTGTCGTTTCACTTCCATTCCCCACCATCCAGTCAGAGCTGAAGAAGCTTCTTGGATAAGAAGCAAAACCTCTTCAAAGTAAAACAAGAAAGTTAAGTTGCCTTGTAAAAAAGCACCTTTGGGATGAATTTCCAATTCTCTGCTACAAAGATACGTAGAAATACGCAGGGAGACGAGAAACTACAAAGTATCTCGAAACTGCTCAACAGGACAGAGTACATTCACTGATCTGTAAACTAATGAATTTGTGGTGTCAGATCTTTGAGGAAGGGGAGCTTTTTGCGGACAAAAGCACTCTTATGCTTTATTAAAATATGTGCAAACTTATTCTATCCACCCACTGAATGGCAAATCTTAACCATCAGCTCTTTCCAACTTGAACCTGGATATCACCAATCAAGCAATCTCATTAGTGGGCATTTGTATTTATTGCTGTGATATTCTGCACCTCCAATCAAAAAGACTGAGGTGGCAGATAGCATTCTTCTCTATCTTCAAGCTCATTTTCTTCACAATATCCCTTACAGATAGATTACCTTGAGACAGAGTCAGTGGTGGGATTCAGCCAGTTCGCACCAGTTTGGCAGAACCGGTTGGTAGCTCATTTTTTGTTGCCCAGGTCCAGAATGGACTTCGGGAAGCGGCATCCACACAGAGAACTGGTTGTTCACATATTTGAATCCCACCACTGGACAGAGTATGAGCAGGCAATATCATCTCATGAACTTCATGACCATTAGAGGTGCCAGAATTAGACCAGGGGTAGGCAACCTTGGCTCTTTTATGACTTGTGAACTTCAACTCCCAGAATTCCTGAGCCAGCCATGCTGAGGGGAAAGGAGAGGTTTCCAAGCTGAGCCATGCTGGCTCAGGAATTCTGGGAGTTGAAGTCCACGAGTCATAAAAGAGCCAAGGTTGCCTACCCCTGCAGTCTAGACTGTAACTTCCCTTCAGTTCAGGAAGATCTGTCATTCCTAGAATTATAAGCACTTCTATTTTATTTGAATTCAGCTTTGGTTTACTTAGTTTATCCTTCATTCAGTTTATCTACCGATAGACAGGACCCTAAGCTGCTACATGGAAATAATAGGAGTCACACAATATCCTGTAACAATTAATGTGCAATGGCTTCATAATGATGTTAAAAAGCAAGTGGACCATAACAGAACTCTGAGAGCTTTAATATAAAAACTTCTACTTTGTGGGGCCACTTCTTTCAAATGTCCCTATCAAATATCTGTTTGCAGGATACTGTTTTTCCTAAATAGGTTTTTTTTTTCCCTGGGAAGGAAATGATAGGGAAATTGAAAAGAATGGTAAGCTGGAGGATAAATCAGCTGCACCTCTCATAGAAGTTTGTAAATGAGGCAGAGTGAAACTGAGGAATAAATAATGCAATTGAACACACTCTAAATCAGGGGTGTCAAACTCAATTTCATTGAGGGCCGCATCAGCATTGCGGTTGCCCTTGGGGGGCCCGGTGGGTGTGGCCAGGGTGGGTGCGGCCTACTGGGTGGGCGTGGATGGAGTGGGTGTGGTCTACTGGGTGGGCGTGGCCAGCTCTACATCGTTCGCGTCAAGGGTGCCTGTGGGGGCCTGGGCAGGAGTGGGACAGATCTGAGGGTCTCTGGCAGAAGGGGGTGGGACCAGAGCAAGCGCCAAGGCATGGTCCATTTCTTCATTCCTCACAAAGGGTGACACCTCCCCAGCATGCACCCAGGGGATGGGGCCGACGCAGCATGGGCTGTTTCCTCGCTGTTTCCAGATGGCCTTGTGGAGCTAAGACTGAATGCGTTTCAGCTTAGATGGCCACCACAAAATTGTACATTGGCTCCTGGCCGGCCTGGGCCAGGGGCAAGGCAGCGGGGGCCGTTCCCTCACTGTTTCTAGGATGGCTTCGCGGGCCACATGAAACGACTTCGCGGGCCGCATCCGGCCCCTGGGCCTTGTGTTTGACATGTCTGCTCTAAATCTAAGCAATTAACTTTGCATAATTTAATCTTCTATCACTGGCAAATGGAAGAAATCAGTTTACCTTTTCAAGGAGTCTGTAATTAATTTCAGCTTCTCTCTCTCTCTCTCTCTCTCTCTCTCTTCCCCACCCTCCCCCCTCTCCAGACATTCCAGGTCTCCGGGCTTCCTCGTACATTGAGAGCCTCCAGCGAGAAGCTCAGCAAGCACTCCAACAAGTCCTAGGGCTTCTCCACTTGGAAGATCAAGGTCGATTTGCCCGAGTCCTGCTGAGTTCCTCCTCCTTGAGGTCCATTCCCCCAGCTCTCATTACCGATCTTTTCTTCAAGCCCATCATTGGAAAGACAGACATTCTTGAGCTCTTAATAGAAATGCTGCTGATGAAATAGTTTTAAGTAACCATAACATCCTTGTGCTGTTGAGCCAGGCAACATATACTTTACTTGGTATTCAACTCCAAGAGAATACAGAATGGACAAGGCATGACATCTTAGCAGCCAGATTGCAAACAAAGAAGGTGCTAGTTGGCGAACTCATATTTTCTTCCTGAACAATGCAAGAAAGCAATATGCACCCAAGCCCTGTAAAGTGTTGTACTTCATTGTTCCACAAACCTCATCCATTAAGGATAAGATCGTATCGTCGTAAGTATCGTTTACATAACCGTGGTATTTTGACGGCTCAGGGCCCACGAGCCACAGTAGTCAACATCAATACCCTATTTTCGAGACGGACTTGGTTAGAACAAGTTTGTACGGACGTCGAGGTTTCACTCCGTATGTCATAACTAAAAAAAAAACTGCATTTATATTGGCTTCAGTTTCAAAGTTCAAATTCTATAGGAATGTCTTGCCTACAGAAAGACTCCTGGGAACTGCCATTGACTGGGAAATAACCCACAGCCTCCCTTCCAGAATATAAGCCAAGGATTTTCCTAGTAAAAAAGAACCAGGTGGTCTTTCAGAATACAACCGACCTCTCCCAGCTCCTAAAAAAGAATATGCGTATAAATGCAACTCATTTTTCTAAACAATTTTTAAAATAAGAATATTGACCTGCATACATTTCAATCTTCAAGTGCAAATACTTTGCTTTAAGGTATCGTGACTTTTATATAGATTTGTGCATTGAGGAAAACTAAGGTCAGAATATGTCAATTTCCATTATTCATCATTTTCCTGCTGGACTGAGGTTTCTTTTCCCTCCAGTTTGCTTTGCATAGGTTGCCTAAAGCAGCTGCTTTTCTCTTCTCCAGTTTATACTGTTGTTCTATACTGGTTTATGCCCTCTTTGCACAAATTTCTAATGTTAGTATTTTGCAAGCAGATGCTTCTTGTGATTTGTACGTAGTAAGAAAGATAAGTTATTGGTTTTTTTTTTAAAAAAAAGAAATAAAAGCATTCTCAGTTTGTTCCATGGCAATTTATTAATGAGCGCTGAAAGGATATATACATCTATCTCCAATTTCACATGATGTCTGCATTCAAAGGTTGTCCTAAGCCAAAATCAAGTATGTGTCTAGTTCCGGATATCAACAGGCATATTTCAGTAGTTTTTGAAAGGGAGGCCGGTCGTACCGCAAACAGGTTCTAAGATGAAATATCAAAGAGTTAGATTATGCCTACTCTGAAGGAGAGAAGGTTGATGGGAACATAAAAGTAAACTTGGGATACTTGACTTGTCATAAAAAGGCCAAGATTTCTTCTCTGCTTTCTCAAAGGGCAGGAATATATGGAGGAATGTTAGAAAGCAGTTTGATAATGGAGTGACTACCCTTCAGGTAATGACCTCTTGCTGGAAGTCCTTCAGGACAGTTAGACATCTTGGATGGAGAATTTTCTACTTCTAGATTTCTAAGAAATGGGCCCGACAGCCCTCTCCAATTTACAATAGTTTCTGTATTGTACTAAACTGTATTTATTTAATAAAACCCCAGATGGCTGAACTAAGGATTCTTCCACACTTTAGCCTAAAGCTGCTTATCTCCCATGTGGAAACTGACTGGAGTTGAAGATGGCTTAAGAAACTGCTGCTTGATTTCAATCCATGTCCCTTGGCTTTGAGGGGAGGCAATAGTTCTATCCAGATAGACATTACCACAGCTGCCAACTGGTGGGATTCCTATTCTTCTTTACCCCTTATATGCCAGGAAAGTAAGCAGTAATCTCTATCCCAGACATGTCAAACCCGCGACGTCACGTGACATCGTGCAACGTTTCGGAGCTTTTTTGCCATTGCCGGCAATGGGGTGGGCGCGGCTCCGGTATGATGAAACCGGCCCACGGTTTCACACCCCTGCTCTATCCTTTCTGAGAGCAATTCTTGTAGAAGAAGTAGTTTCCATTGATAAGCCCCCTCTGTGAAATTTGATTTGTATTTGGCACCTGCCCATCCAAAAAATCCACTTGGAATTTGGTGGGGTGAGGGAACATAAATGTACTATGGTATTATTCCTCCTGTCAGGTGGACTAGTTAGGGAAACTGGCAAAACTCTTGTCAGTTTCACCTAGCTTAAAACAATAGTTCGTTGTGAAGAAAAAAAGTCCAATCTTTCATTATAGGTAGTCCTCAACTTGCACCTGTTCATTCAGTGACTACTCGAAATTACTAAGGCACTGAAAAAAGTGACTTATGACCATTTTTCACACAACCGTTGCAGCATCTTCATGGTCATATGTTCAACATTCGGGTGTTTGGCAACTGAGTTATACTTATGATAGTTGCAGTGTCCTGGGGTCACGTGATCACCATTTGCAACCTTATAAGCAAAGTTAATTGGGAAGCCAGATTCATTTAACAACTGTGTTACTAACTTTTAACAACTGCAATGATTCAGTTAACAACTGTGGTAAGAAAGGTTGTAAAATGGGGCAAAATTCAACACGTTATTGAAAGAAACTATGTATATCACGTTGTGTAACCAACCATCCTCATTTAGGGAGGACAGTCCTCCTTTTGTGAGTTCTGTCCTCCCTCGAAAAGTGTCCTCCTACATGTCCTCCTTTTCGATATTTGAAGACTAATCTGCAGGGCTTTTTTTTTCTCATAGAACGCTCAGAACGGCGTTCTGGCACCTTTTTTGATGTTTTTTTTTCAACTTTTGCATGAGCTGTGCTACTCCCCCTATTGGCTTTTGAAAGCCAATAGGAATTGCTGCTGAGCGCGCCAAAACAGCTGGCCGGCAAACTTTGCACATGTAAGTTGTCTGCAGCAAAGGCGAATTGGCAGGAACTTTGCACCCCTCCCTGCTACCCAACTACACCATCTCCTAGTTAGTCCCGAAGATACCTGGAGGAGACAGGAGCGGCGATGCCACGATAACTTTCTCTTGATCTGTGGCCCTGCTAGGGCAATAATGGCTGCGGGCGCAAGAGGCAGGGGCGGCGGGGCTGCTGCGGGCTGGGGTGTGAGGGGCGGCGGTGGCCAGCTGACCCCCGTACTGTGGGAGCTGCGGGGCCTGCTCTACACGGGGCTGCGCAGGGTGGGCGGTGGTGCTGGCGGGGCAGCTGCAGGCAGGGTGTGTCGATGGCGGGCTACCCCTGGGGCCGGAGCCTGCGCAGCTGGTGCTTTGGGAGCCGCGGGGCCCGCTCTACACGGCGCGGCAGCTGCGGGCAGGGGCGCGGCATGTAAGCATAATTACAATATAAAATGTTATTGTTACAAATGTTTTTATTATGCATTTATCATATTATAGTGTATTCTGTATTATTGTTGCAATAAATAAAATGTTTCTTTTATTTACGATATTTTTTTCTTCAATTTATTTGTGTCCTCCTTTTCATTGTAAAAAAGTTGGTCACCTTAGTAAATCAGTGTTTCTCAGTTCAGCAAATTTAACATAAATTCAACTCTCAGAACTCCCAGCCAGTAAGGGAGTCTAAATTCAGAGATACAGTGAATACTTCCCCTTCTCTGTCTGAATTCCACCCTCTGACATTTCAGTAAGGAAAGCCTGATTTATTGATCGTCCCAAGCTCAGGGGAGGTAAAGCTCGAGTTTTCTGTAAGTCAGAAGTATGGTTTCAGCCAAAGAACACTTAAGTGTCCCTAGAAGTTTGAACCGGGAAAACTGAACACCTGAAGTTGAGGGTCTTAAGGAGTCGGTCGCATGGACTGAATTGTATTGTGATGACAAGAAAAAGATACCTGAAAAGACTTACAATTGGACCGAGAATAGAGATACTGGTTCTGTTTGTTGGCCAAAGGCAAGTCACCACTGCGGTAGTGAGGCGCAGCGCTTGCCGGCGACGCCGAAGGTCACATGACGTATCCCAGTCGTTGAAAGATGGCGGACCTGGCTCCGGCTTCTTCCTCCCCTGAGCGCGGCGACCGCTATTGCCTGGTGAGCTGCGTTCCAGCCCAGCTGCGCTCCGCCGATCTCCGCTCCTACTTCAGCCAGTTCATCGAAGCCGGCGGCTTCCTTTGCTTCCATTATCGGCATCGCCCCGAGCGGGAAGAGCAGCTGGGCGGCCCTTCAAGGCCAGGAAGGCGGACCTGCTGCTGCCTGGTGGCGGTGAAGCCCGGGTGGTCTCTCCGCTTGGTTCGCATGTATTCCGGCAAGCGATGGATCGACGCGCAGGGGGAGACGCTGCCTGGCCGGTGCGTCATACGAAGGGTCCGGATTTCCCCAGACACAGGTATTAAGAGAGCGGAGGGGAGGCCCTGGGGTGCCCGTCCTGGGTTCAAATATTTAACATTAACTTCTTCAATATCAATCTGTTCAATACTACACAATCCAGTAATTTTTCCCCTGATCCTCCTTTCTTCTCCATATTTTTCCCATTTTCCCCTCATTACGCCATTACAGTTTTTTGTACTGTTAATGTATACAGAGTTAAATATAAGCATCTTCATCCAATTTTACTAATATACCAATATCAATTCATAAACCCATGTCAATTCATTAATCGCTATCCTGTTTTTCCTGCTCTTGTTAAGGTTTGATTTCCCATCAGTATTTGAAATTTCTTTGTCAGTTATGATTTTCTCAATATTAATTACATTTATATAGCTAAAAGTTTTATTCAAATCAATCCTCTTATCTTCATATTTCCCATATAAAAAGAAAAAAGAAAAAATGCTATCTTAATTCTAAATCATATCTTTCATTATAAAAGTCTAATTATATCTAAGGGTCATCCGTTCATTTAATCTTATTCAAACAAGTATTTAAACATATAATGCCACCTCTAAAAGGTCAAATCTTCTGTTTTTTAAATCTGACTCTCGCTTTCTTTCTTTGCCAAGTCGCTTTCCAAGCCAGGACAATTAGATCGCCCAGGAATTTTCTTTTTGTTCTTGTAAAAATTGCTTGGCATGAGGAAGACAATTTAGGTAGGGTATTTGGGGGGCGGAATTCTGCCCATTTATATTCCTTAAACAATTCCCAGGTCCTTTCTCCCTTCATTTCTCTTTTCATTCCCTGTCTCCCAAGTTCTATATTCCCTTTTTAAAAATCTTCTTCCTTGCCATCAGATATATTTTGCAGACCTAAGGGGTAAAAGGTATTTGCATTTTCATTGTTATAGCTAAATCTTGCAGTATTTTGTTTGTATATAGTTATTTATATTTCCTTTTTATCTCTTTCATCTCTAAATCCATTTCCTCTATTTTGTCTTCTGATTTCTGGATTATTCATATTTTGTAGTCGTTATCTGGGAACTTTCTAGTTGTAGATTTAATTTGGAGATTTGCTCGTTTATAAGGTCAGATAAGTATGCCAAAATATTTTCCTTTATTGCCAGCTGTTCTCCCAAGCTAGGAATCACCAAGCAGGCAGGAAGCAAATTATAGTGCTATACACAAATCTACCACTAGATGTCATTCAAAGTCCATTTTCCACTCTTAAAACAAAGGATTGATTTCTTATATTTCACTTATATTCAGTTTTTTTTCCAAAGAGAAAATCTTAACAATTATCTCAGTTATCAAATTTATCAAAACTGTATCTTTATGTTACTTCCACTTCAGTATTGTATGTTTCTGTCCCCCATAAAATTAAAACGCCACTTCTGTTTACATTCAGAGGTTTTTAGCTTCTTGGGAGCCTTTCCCAGGAAATTCAGTTGTAAAATAGCAAAGAAAGGATCAATATTCTCACCCAGTTCCAAACATGCTGTTTACGATGTATTAAGTAGTGCTTTTTCCTTCTTCGGTTGTTAACAGCTAATGGCCGGCCACAGGAATTTAGCTGGTCTTTCCCCTGCCGGTTTGGAGGGCTTTCCTTGGATTGAACAGAAAGACTGCCATCTCTCCATGATCAACAAGGCACCCCTCCTCTCTATCACCTCTTTGGGGCGATTTTAGGCCCTTTTTAGGGCCCCCAGCAGAGCGAAATTGGATGCGGAAGGCAGAGCCCTACCTTCCTGCATCCCATCCTGCTGCAACGCAAACCGGAAGCCACTTTTTCCAGAGTTTCATTGTATTGTTTCCATTGTTCATTTGTGTCAGTTTGGGACTGGGTTTTTATAGGAGGTGTGTACATTATTACACTAAAGGGAGTTGTGATGACAAAAAATGTTTAGGAACTATTGGTCTAGAAGAAAGGAGTAGGAAAAGAATTTGAGTGGAGGACTTGTTTCTCCTTGCTTAATCTGCCATGCCATCACATCTCAGAGGATAGGCATTTTATGGCTCCCAACTCTTAAGGAATGTCACCTGATGGGACCCAGGAAGGCAGCCTTTACTGCTATGGCGCCTGCCTTTCATTACCTGGAATTTAAATTGGCCTGGCCTTTACAAAGGCCTGGAAGCTTGGCTTTGCTGTCAGGGTTGGGGATCCAGCAGTGGTGATGTGGAGCCTGCCAAATGGCTACATTGTTAGTAAATTGGATTATACCCTTACAGATTATTTTTTTATGGTTTTAATAGTTTTAGGTTTTGTAACGGCTCTTGTATGTTTGTTGGGGGAGGGGGGGTTCTGTTGTTGTTTTTTTCTGCTAACTTTATGAGCTGTCCAGAGTCATGTATGCGAGATGGGCAGCTAATACAAGTTGAACAAATAGAATTAAGCACAGTGTGAGAGCACTGTGCAAACATAGTAAATACTAGGACTATTAAATATGGCCTGAAAAAGCTGGAAGACAACTCATCTGGTGTTTTTTACGGCTCAGATCCAGTAGCCCTAAAGAATGGAAACTGTTGCTGTACTAACATTCTTCCTTATCTGTACATTTATTCACAGAGACTGGTTTATTTTGTTATAAAACCAAAAAGGAGCTCCATACTGTATCAGGAGAAGTTTTCACTCAGGATGATTTTGAACGACTCCCTGAACTGAATCCTCCCGCAGTAATGCCTCATGGAAACGTGGGAACTCCATTACGAGTCTTCTTAGAGCTTATCAGGACTTGCCGAATGCCCAGCCGTGTAATTAAAAAGCTGCAGTTACGGTTCCCTAAATCTGGCTCATCTCGCAGGTACGGGAATGTACCATTTTCATACGAGGGAACAGATACTATTGAAGAAGAGGAGCGAGTTTACACAGGTACGGGAGAAGAAATAACAGAAGGAGGCCACTTGCCACATGTAGAGTTAGTAAATCAAGATGGTGATGCAGAAGAGAGAGACCCCGAAGAACCAGAAAAGAAAGAAACGGATGGCTCTGAACTGGATTGTGTAAGTAGTTTCTTCCAATTGTCAAACACGGAGCTATTATATATCTCACTACCAAGTTAAAGTTGCTAGTTTACTTCTTTGAGGAAAAAAGAACATTATTTATTCATGTGTACAAGCTAGAAAAGGTTCTTGTGAATCTGAAGTCAGAGCTGATTAGCCTAAACAACTGCAGTGTGTTTCTGGCCTTTGGCCTGAGATTTTTTAGTTTTTACATTCTCAGGACTGCCCAAGTTAATTTAATGGTAAAGAATTTGCACCAGGAGCTATGTACTTTAATAGAAAGATCCTTTATTTTCACAAAATCCACAGCTAAAAATTAAAAAAAAAAATCTAAGGCAGTGGTTCTCAGCCTGTGGGTCGGGACCCCATTTGGGGTCGATCGACCATTTCACGGGGGTCGCCAAGCAAGGCTGTCCGCCATTTTTTTCCCCTTTTCCAGCGGGTGCCTTACCTCCCTTGAGCTGGGCCAGCTGGTGGTCGGCCTGCTCCATCTCTGCCGCTTGCCAGCTACGCCTCGGCCGGCGCAGGGGGCGGAACCACGCATGCACGGCGCTCCTGGGCAGGGAAAGTCCTCGACTTACGACCGGTTGGGTAGTCCTCGACTTACGACCGGTTTAGTCCTCGACTTACGACCGGTTTAGTCCTCGACTTACGACCGGTTGGGGTCGCGGTATTAAAAAGGTTGAGAACCACTGATCTAAGGGGAATGTTAATTCAGATGCGGGGGGAGACTAAATCTTAGCTGTATTCTTCTTCTGTTCCTGATCATCTGGGTTCTGCTACAGGAGGATGATGATAGATGTGAAGAGTGGGAACGGCATGAGGCCTTGCATGAAGATGTCACCAGCCAGGAACGCATAAAAGAACGCTTGTATGAGGAGGAAATTGAACTAAAGTGGGAGAAAGGAGGCTCTGGGTTGGTCTTCTACACAGATGCACAATATTGGCAAGAAGAGGGAGCAGGTAATTTAGCAGATGCCTTAATTCTGTGTTGCTACTAAAGTCTGGATGCTTTTTCAACGATATGCTTTTGTGTCCTGTTTGTAAATACTTGGCCCTTTCTCATGAATGAAACATGTAGAAATGCTGATGTCTAAAGTATGTAGACATATCAAAAGCAGGGTTAGCTGCTGGCAGGCATTCATACATCTTCCTTTATTTCATCCTCATCTTCCTCATCCTCTTTTTCCTTGCCCCCTTCCCAAAGATTAGGGTAGAATTAGGACAATTAGAGCAAAGATTCAAATAAATATTGATACAGGGCAAGTTCATAGAGGAGAGGGTATCCCTTTTATGTTCCCATTTTATAAAAAGCTACGAATGAAACCAGATATAAAATCTGGCTTTATTTCAATGCATGCAGAGTTCACAAGGCACTCGGATATTGTAAAGCAGGGTGATGTTAGCACAGGAAGAACGGTGGCAATGAGTTGCATATACTCTTTTCTTCACACACAACTTTTCTTTTGGCAGATTTTGATGAAGAGACAGCTGACGATTGGGATGTCGACATGAGTATCTACTACGAGAAAGGTACTGATCTACGTTGGCAGGGATAGGTAGAATCTGCAGTCAATGCTTAGTGTACCTGGAAGCTTCAGTTTAGCAAGAATTGGACTTGCTCTCCTGGCAAGGTGAGATACTGCAGTCATCTTGCCCTGGCGTTCGTTCAGACACAATTCAAAATTGAAAATATGAAAATTACTTTGTTCTTCAATGCAAAGCTATAGGTAATCCTGGCTTAAAGGCTGCCCTGTTTAGCAACTGTTTGAAGTTACAGTGGTGCTGAAAAAGTAATTTTATATTGAGTCCCCACACTTATGACTGTTGGAGCATCTTGCAGTCACATGATCCCCAGAGCCATGGTGGCAGAGTGGTTAGAATGCAGTATTGCACGTTCATTCTGCTGATTGCCAGGAATTTGATCCTCAGGCTTCCATCCTTCCGAGGTCGGTAAAAATGAGGACCCAGATTGTTGGAGGCAACAGGCTGACAGGGCTTAGATAGGGCTGTAAAACACTGAAGCAGTATATAAGTCTAAGTGCTATTGCCATTTGCATGCATCACTGCTGGCTTTCAACAAGTGAGTCAATGGAGAAGCCAGCAGTGAAATTGTGAATTGTAATCCTTTGATATCTCGCTTAACAACTGGGTTGCTTAACAATGGAGTTGCTGGTCCCAAGTGGGGTAACTAACTGAGGACTACGTCCTGTCTCATTACATTTGTCTATAAAATACACAGACAGCAAATTCTCACCAAAATGGCATTTCTCCCTCTTCCCTTAAATAAGTGAAATACTTCCTTATCTTTGAATCGTTCAATAGAATTCAGATCTAATAGGGTAATTAAAGAGAGTTTTGCTGTCAATCCATTTCTTAAGGCATTGGATGCAAAATCAGCCCTAATTAAATGGAAGCCAATTCATCCAGCAAAACAGGATCGGTGAAAAGAACTCTTAGTGGCTGTTCTTAGCAGTCCATCCTTTGAACTCAAGTGTTTGAGCATCTAAAGCTGCCTTTACTTAGACTGGTACCTCCTTCGCTAACTGTCCAAGTCTTGGTGGACATTCTCCCCCCCCCCCC